TACCTGCGCGTTACACCACACAGCGCTCACACCTCACGTGAGCAGATGAAGCAAGTCGGCGTGTTTGTTCTTTAAATAGCATGTATTTGTACCCTGGGCTCATCAAGGCGATCCCGCCCCCTTTACCGCTCAACTAAGAGGAAACCCTGTAAAAGTAGACCTGAGATTAGGACGCCCTGGTGAAACCATCAAAAGCCCCATGCTATAGATTATGTGTGACTTCTCCATTCTGTAATGTCTTGTGGCGAAGTCTTACGACAGCTAAATTCTTAGCTTATAGGTCATTGGGTTGTTGTTTTTTCCCAGAGGGTCTTTAAAAATAATTTGGTTTGTTGGTTTTATTTTACCAAACATTTTCGGAGTTTTTTTTTTTGTGTTGAGAGTTTCTAATTAATCAACAATAAAGTGAAGAGTAAATCATTATTCAAGGTAAGACAAAGAGGGGGGGGGGGGGAAGAATCGTGCTTAGTGATTTATAATATTACAATAAATTAAAAGCAAAAGTATTAAATTTATTCCAAATGTACATTAAGGCTCATATTGCATTTTTATATATGCAATTAAACACCTTAACTTAAATATATTAATAATGTTCTAACCCCCTAATTTTATTGGTAGCTCAGAGAAGACAGGCTTTAAAGAAAATAATCCTACACCTTTAACACGTTAATCCATATTTATACCATTACTTCTCCCTTAGATTTGCGATTGTATAGGTATACTGTGAGCATCAAGTTCTAAGGTAACCATCTCCCCAACCCCACAAAAAATATCAGTAAATTGGTCTGGATTTCCAACTGTACCAATTGGGTTGTCCTCCTTTGACATCAGCCATCGTGGAAGGGAAGCAACCCAATCGATTACAAATACTGATGAAAAAACGTTGCCCACAAAGTCGATAATGCTGTTAACTTGTGGGTTCCATTTCCAGCATTCACCTTCTTTCTTACCATCCATTCTCACCGTTCTCATCCATTCTCGTTTTACTTACTTTACTTATTGGCCGTGACTAAGAAACCTTAGTTTAGCTGGGTCTGTGTATGTTGTACATGGAGTTTTAAGAGAGAAAAAATATAAGTCAAGGCACATAGCCACGCAAAATTTTCTTCAGCAGAAAGTAAACAGAAAGTGAAATATTTTTTTTAGAATACTTGAAAGTCCAGGTACTATGGCTTGTATTTACAACGAACTCAATTCGTTATGTAAGATGTGTTGAGCTTATTAAAACTGATTAATTTAACATTTTATGTTACTCACTGATTGAAAGACTTTTTAAAAAGTGTTTACAACCCCTCCACTTGCAAATCCCAACCCGCTTGTACTGAATCAAAAGTTATCTATATATAAATTTTAAAAGTCGTATTTAAGGCCACAAAAATCGGAAGAGTTGGCTGATAAAATTCTATAACTGTGCTTGTACAAGCATGAAATGTCAAGGCTATTTTTATCTTACACGTGTGCTTGCACGTACGATTTTATTAATTATCGTTCACCCATGAAAAATTTAGCTGGCAAACTTGTTATTGTGTTAATGATCATCAAACGTTCGTTTACAACTGAGTTTTTGCATAATTGGGAGTTGGCCTTTACCTGAACTTGATGACCTCTGGTTTTAACTTGGGCCATTCCTTTCTGTATAGAATATATAATCGAGCTTCAAATTACACCTTTCTTGCATGTTTATGCAATGAAACGTAAACACACTTTCTATTTCTAATTGTTTTTGTCAGTTCTGGTTGTAATTAAAACTTAATGCTGCGGGACATTATCAGATCCACCCCCACCCTCGCCTCTCTATATGACATATGACATGACATTAGTGCCAGTGTGAGCAATGTCTGCTACTCTGTGCCATCTTTTTCACTGACAGTGTTGTCTCTATGTGCGTCTTGCATGTTCCGTTTAAAATAAATATAAAAAAAAAATGACATTCAAATACAGTATTTTTTAAAAATTATCACCTATTTCAAATTTGTATTAAAGTTTTAGTTGAACATTCTACATTGAATTACAACGCGGAAAACTAATTTCATCATTTAAAACGTATATTGAAAAGTGTTATCTTGAAAGAAAATAAGCCACAGAATCTCAACATAGACGTGTTATTCCCCCTCGCTCAGGCCGTAATGGCCGAGTATAAAATAGATTCCCTCCACGTACAAGCACACCAACATGGAGAAATCAATAAGTGCTAAAGTGGATCGGTATATTTATCTGCGCTCGTAAGGCTTGAACTGAATTTATATTCATTGAACCGCTATTCTCTCACGAGAAAGATTAGTGTTTGTCCAAAATAGATAATTATAAGACTTTGTTTTGCAGATGCCCATAGCAAAATGCAACATTTTATAGGGAAATCTTTTCAATTTACAACTTTTTTGATTTATGAATCTGCGATACAGTGACTCAATGAGCTATAGTCATTTGCCTTTAAGCATTTACTTACATCAGTAACGTTTAAGATTTAACATCGGTGACAATATCTATGGAATAAATATAGCTATAGAAGGGCCTTAGTGCAATGACGTATGTGCAATGTGTATGTTAAAGAAAAATCATACACATTTATTGTCATAGATTTTTTTATTTCTTTCCTAGCACGCCATCCTATATAGCGTATTTTATTCCCAAAGCATTTGTATTCGCATTATAAAAATAAGTAAAGGAACGATGTGTACTGTTTGTCTCTTCGTGTTCTCCGCTGATAAAGGCGTGATAACTGCTAATATCAAAAACATTTCCAGCGAGTTGTCTGCTTACGTAATCTTGCTGGTATCCTCGATTTAAAAAAAAAACATAGTTGAAATTCCATCGTCTTAAGAGGAGGTAAGTATTTGACAAATCAGTTGTTTGTATCTTATCTAAACGCGTGTCCGCTAGCTATACAACAGGTCGCCACATACACTTAGGCCGCTAAAATGTAAGGCGACTTAATTTGTCAGTCAACACTACCTTGGCCAGCTTATCATTCAAGTAGCAGTACAAACAGCAGGCCATCCAGCCACACAATTCAACTGTTTGCTCACAAGCCCTTTATTTTTCTCATTCCCTAAAGCGCATCCACTGCTGGATAAAAAAAAAAATCAATGGAAGACTGACATTATCTACTATTTTATAGATTTACCACTGTCAACAGAAGATGAATCGCTAGCCTTTAAACATTATGTCTCGCACTACACATTCGTTTGACAGAAGCTATTTTAAAGCGTGCTGTTCAGAGCTCTGGTGATGAAAACGGTAGCTTTTGTTTGAATGTTTAGTGTTTGAAGTCTAGTGCCTTAGTGATGTGAAAGTACTCACAACCCACTCACTCTGATTAGGCACCAAGCTATATTCAGCCTTACCCAGTGCATGTGTTAGTCATTGTTTGATGCGAACAAAATGTTAGTTACAAAGTTCGTCTAACCAGCAGTGGGCGTATCGCTGACTAATGAAACTTGCTGGTGTTGATGAACTGGCTGGTACGTTATAAAGAACCATCTCATGTTCGTATTACGGTCCTTCGGTGGTCAGTACAGCCTGGCTAAGTGAACCTTGAATTGATTTCCTTTCTTGTGACGAATTTTATAAAATACGGCCGGCCAGCCGGTGTTTTTTTCTTCTCCCAATACCTTGCAGTTTCCAGGGGCAGAATACAAATTGGATTTCAAGCCACCTTTTTTTTTCTATCTCCCGCACGTTTACATATATCTTGTCTGTAAAGCTGCTGGTCCGCAACCTCGACTTAATAGACTGGCATTCATGAAAACCACGTTAAAGAAACACAGGCTAACTGAATGTTTTTAACTACCCATTGCATAAAGCATTTTGAATAATGCTGAAAAAATATTACGAAATAAAAGCTAACCCATATTTAAAACTAAATATTGAAAGTTTATCGGAAGTTAGAGTAAATCAGTTTTAGTTGGAAAAAAAAAACTGTAATTAAAAGGCTGAAAAAAGTAAGACTACTGATTTCATTAAACGATGTTAACGTTTGACGAGTTATTGCCCTTAGTCTACAGTTTTTTATAAAAATTGCGTGTGTTAAAAAAAAAAAGAAAATATTCTTTTTCATTGTATATCTGCTTAAACAATACTACGTAAATTTAATTTCATCAAACACAATACATGCATACATAATTGTTTTAAACATCGACACCAATCTAAAGATTTTAATGGACACATTCTTTTTATTATGGCAAGCACATGTAGCCCAACATAAACTCCTAAGTGATGTGTTGTAAAAAAATATATAAATGAAAATGTCGATTTTATTTTTTAAATATTGAATGATGCTTAGTAGCCTAGGCAAATTGCATTGCACATAACTATCAGAACATGCAAACCTTTTAAATTAGCACTTGGTGAAATCTCTTTAGCCAGCTACAGTGAAAATTAAGGGTAATAAACTCAGCATAATTTCTCCTCACGTGAAGCTCCCGCGCTTCTCCTCCCCGAGGTACTGTCTATGGCGTAATTTTTTCTGCCAACAGCACCCCACCTATTGTAACGTAATGACATCCTGTGTGAGCCATAGCCAGCGTTTGTTGGAACAAAAATATTCATTTGCCTTTTTGTTTTCTCTCTTCCACAACCTTTTTGCAGTCATTGTTTCAAATCGGCCTAGGGATTTGGGTGTGTGTTGTAGTTGTAGTCAGTCCCGCTCCACAACACATTTTCTCTTTATTGACCAGTAAAAATAATTGACACAAACCCGCCCCACTTTCCTTACAAACTGAATTTAGATAAATGTAAGTTGAGTTAAAAAACAACGGCGGTGTATGAAGTAATTTCATCTAACCTTAGATGATAGGGGGAGGGGGGAATATGATCAATAGTCGTGGGCTAGCCAATAGCACTACGCGTGCTGGCGAAACCGCCTTGCCCAGCCCACCCGGCATCAGATACGCTACTCCTCCGTTCTCTCAATTCTTTTTCGCTTCAGCACTTACGAGCACACTGACGAACACACTAATGACTTGCTTGTGTTTTGATTGATACGGGGGAGGAGGTCCTACCGGCTGATTCAGAAGACACCCCCTTCCCCTTTACGTCATCGCCGCCATAGTAATTCTACTTTTCTAGGTGTCTGCCCTCTCTGCTCGGCTTGATCGTCGTCATCCACATAGTGGTTCCACTGCATCAGGCCTTAGTCATCCGCTTCCACAGGCCTCCCTATTGAGCAAGATTGCCTTCTGCATTGGTCTGTTGATGGCATGTCTTGCCTTATTGCTAGCACCATATAGAACTTGACCATCCAACTTTAGTTTGTGCTAGCTAGCTTGTGGATTGAGTCAAGTGAACTGTTTTTTCTTTTCTTTCAAAGACAGCCACTTGTTGTTGGATACATTCTATGTTGAACGTTTATCACTGAGTGCAGAAACTGACGCATCTCTTCAAACCATTTCACATTTTATAGGTTTTGTGTGCGTAATTATTACATTTGGGAACTTACAATATAGTATGTGGATAGCTTCTTCTGTGTGAGTATTCTACCTTTTTTTTTAAAAAAATGCTCTTGTTTTAAAAAATGTCATGATCAATTTTTGAAACCGATTTTGCTAGATGGTTTTGTTATCTGGCGGTTGACTTTTTTAACGTGAGCTTGAATTTACGAACAGGTGGATAACAAGGTGCTCAAGCTGATAGTGTTCAGACACGACGAGACATTTAACGTGTACTGGAACAGCAATAAACGTGTTCGACATGGAGATGAGCATTTACAATCTTGTGTTTTACAATACCTTAAATTTGTTACAGATCAATGCTTTGTTGCGATAAATTCTGTTTACATTCACTACATGAATGCATGTTTGCAAGTAAATAGTTTCAGCTATTTACTTGAAGCTTATGAGTACACTAACAAAAAATCAGGACTATTTTTATTACAGTGTTTATCTGAAAGAAATAATGCCTATTGTGATGTTTTTCAAATCTCCTCAATTTGTGTGTTTTTAAACCTAATTGTCTAAAATTAACCTCTTCTGAATCTGTTGTATAAAGATCTAGAGTTTCTTTTTACAGTTGCTGAATCCCTCGTCTTTAATGTTAAACCCCTCTACAATATCTACTGCAACAACCAATTTAAAAAAAAATGCGTGCACGCCGTTCACATTCGCATTTGTGAACCAACCAGCTTGCACCATACAACACTTAAGTGCGAAATGTTATTTTCAACTACCTCTAGTTGGTAATGTAGTTGTTTTAAAAGATTCAGTTTTGTATGTGAATGGAGCTGCTGCTGTATTATGGCTATTTGTTTTTTGTCTTTATAGTTTTTAACTGAATATTCATTGAAAAGTTGCTTGGATATAAAATGTCAAATGGGGTAAGGCATGACCTGTTTCCGAATACGTTAATGCTGTTAGGTCTTTGTATTATTATGGTAATACGGCAAACATAAGCAATGCATAAACACATCTTAGCCCTTATGCTTGAAATAGCATTGTGTGAAATGAAAAAGCGGAACTACGTTACATGTAATCACAACACACATGAATGCCAAGACTCACACAGTTTTCTGTAACTAATTGGCTTGCATTGTTTGTGAATTGTTTATAATTTGCCGTATAATATAGGTGAAAAGTTAACGGTAACAATACATTTAATGAAAACGTAGACATAACAAAACATAATTAAACTGCTAAATATTGGGTTCAAGTTTTGATTTAGGGCTGGGGTTAGGTAAAGTGTTATGGATACTTGAAAAAAAAAACATCAAGTACGTCTACTTGTAAATATTTTGATGTAATTTAAAGGCACAGGTATCACATAATCTGAATGTATGCATGCACTCAGTTATTGTAAGCTTCCCCCCCCCCCCCCCCCCCTTTCTCAAGTCCCATTGGCACTGCTCAGACTCAGTGTTTGCATTGGTATCTATATAAAGCTTTAAGATACGAAACCCTTTCGTGACCACTTGTCTCTTGTCATTTCATAGTCTACATTTGACATGATTCTAGCTTAAGTCTCCCGAGTGAAATAAGCCATGGCAATATTGCTCTATCACCCAGCAACTGCGTACTTCCACCGCTGCTAGACACGAGCCCAAGTGTTGTATAAATGTGATCATGATTCACTTTGTAGAGATTGCCCCTTCTAGGTAACAATGGTAGTTGTAGTGACACGCTTGGCTCCAAAAGTCAACCTTGTTTGTATATCAGAAAGTAGATAGATAGCACAGGACCTAGCGATTGCCTCTGCTGGACACACACTTGGACATGTAGGATGTTCTCCCCACCTAGGCTGTCTACTTACCGAGAGCCTCTATCGATTTCTGTAGAGAAAATGATAGCTGGTCCATGAATCGATACTCTGCCCAGTCTGAGATTGTCGCTGTGTTGGGGAAAAAAATCCCTGTCAATATCTTTTATAATGGCTTAGACCCGTTTAAAAAAATAAATGAGGGGCTTGGCCATTGGATACACTTTTAAGAACTATACTTTATAACTATCGTATTGATTTCAATCTGTATTCATTTTGTTACAATTATTTTATGTTTCAATTTTCTTTTTATAAAAAAAATGTTCGTTCTTAGATGAATATTATTCACTTTTTATTTTTTTTAAATTTGATCTCTTAAATGTTGGGCGTGTAAAACGTGCAGTTGTTATAAGTAACACGACTACTAGGATTGGAGAACTATAAAGCTGCTAATGTTTTGCTATTAGCTCAGTCATTAGCACCAAACTATACACTATAGACATTATTAGATACTCGAGTAGTATCAGGAACAATAACCTACTGCACTTCAACTAGAAACGAATGTACATGGGTCCAAAGCAAATGGCTCGCGTCAACTGTTCGTATTAATAGGCGTTTGATGAAGGTCATAGAATAGCGGTGGAGCAACTTTCTGTTAGCAGGACGCCTTGTGTGTATGGGGAGGAAATAAGCATTATTCATGCCTCACCCTATGGTCTAGCAGCAATTAGCCAACTCTTTCACACTACACACACATTTAGTGAGTCCGTATAGCCATTTTATTACTCATTCATAATAGCAATACAGTGCTCATTAGTCTGCCCCAATTTACAGCTGGTGAGTTTTGAAGGTCACGGGTAGGTTTATTTGAAGGTAATAATGTACTCTGTTCTATGGGGGGGGGGGGGGGGGTCGTCCATATTTTCCATAGAGGTTTAGTGTTGGACCGTCACGGAAAGCCGCGAGAATGGGTTAAACAAGGGTCCCTCATTACTAGATTTGGTCTTGTATCAGGCACCGGAGGTTGTTAGTCTGATCGATAGGCGGGGGTCATCGCATCGTGTGCGTCTATTCCCGGCCCTGAGACGCTGCAATCAATACAAGCCGCCAGTGTTTGCAGCTATCTATCTCTCTGCTATCTCCGAACATTTGTTTCCCGCTACCCTGTAACGCTGTCCCCGTATTGATGTTAGCGTTATCCCACGGCTGTTCCTCGAGGTCGGCCCACTAGTTAACACGTAGTACACAAGGCTCCACTCCTTGTTGCATCGATCCATACAATGACGTCCGTGTGTTGTCTAGCATTCCATCAAACTAGGAACCAAGTTAATTGACACCCTGGCTAATAGTCTAAAGAAGAAAACAAAATAGCTATATCAATATCTCTATATGGCTAATTTGTTTGAACATAATATACCTCGATTCCAGATATTTGTTTAAATATATGGACTAGAATAGACGAGGAATCAATACGCGCCGAGTTACCAGTATAGGAAATACGCAGTTCTATTGAAGCTGTTGGGGGTGATAACATATTTTTACACTTAGCCAGATCAATTCATTTCTTTGGCTTCAGATCTTATTTTCTTATCACAGAATTGCTAGTGGTGAGTATGCCAAACATAAGTAAAGCAGTTGAGCTGTTTATAAGCGTGATTATTATTAAAGGCGCGAACGATATAAAACTAGGTATCATTAATACACAAACGGGCTGTTTGAAAAAATAATGCCACGCCAATAAGAGTTGCCAAGGGACAGCTAGAAATATCGATCTCTCGTTTTGACGTCACGTAGTGAATCAGGAGTAGATCACATGATTGTTCTCGTTTCGATTGGTCAATTACCCTAGTATTTACACTAGTGAAGCCTTCAGCAATCAGCCACCTGATCCGTGGTTTCAATTAGTGCCTTCTAAATTGTTTGAAGTTATAGTCCCAGCATACATGCTGAATGGATTTGTGTTCAAATCATGGTACATTGCATGCAACAGTAGTTCACAGTAAAAACTTTTTACAGGGAGTCGCGTCCTTCTCTTCTCTTTTCTTTTGTAAATTCTGGAGATATCATTAGGTAACTGGAAGATTTCTCCCTTCTTGTACCTGCTAAATTGTCTGATTAAAAATATTTTTTTTTTTACTTCCGCTTAAAGTGAGTTTACAGGATGAACATCGTTACTGGCACATTTTGTCCACTAGACTGTAACAATTTGATGAATGAGTGATCTCAAGCATGAAAAGAATCAGCGAGTGAATATGTTGAAGGCATTGACCTTCAGACGTGCTGCCTGTGTGTCTGTTGTATCGGTAAATTGTTAAATACACCAGCTTTCAGACGTGCTACCTGCTTCTGTCTTTTGTACAGGTAAATTAGTTGAGTGCGTCAGTCTTGAGACGTGTGTTGCTTGCTCCATCTGTAGTGCAGGTAAATTAGTTACCTACTCTATCTAGCTGGCTGTACAGGTAAAATAGCCGAATGCGTCCGTTTGAAAAATCTAGCTGGCTGTTCAGTTAAAATAGCTTAATGCGTCCGTTTAAAAAAAATAAAGCTAGCTGTACAGGTAAAATAGCTGAATGCGTCCGTTTGAAAAATCTAGCTGGCTGTACAGGTAAAATAGCTGAATGCGTTTCCCGCTATAGCTTGTCCAGGTAAATGGGTAGTTCATCCTTCTCCTGAATGTTTTTGAAAGTGTTCACAAACATTTAAGTCTTTTACTTTTAATACTGCTGTGTTTACCAATTAATATTCTACGCGTCTTGCATTAAATGTGTAAAATGAATCCTGTGTATAAAATGAAGGCCTCTATTTTCCCACCGGTTCCTCTGTTTGGCCTAGTCTGTGTAGGAAATGTGTGTTTACAGCCAGGCTGGCGAAACCTGGCGCTAGTATGTTTGGTATTTTTGGCACTGTACTCGCACATGGCATGCTGTACCACGCTCGGTTCCCGCCGGCTTGCTCTCTACATTGTCTGTATACTTTTGTCTAGATGATCCTTGTACATATCGGTCATATCCAAGGTAATGTGTTGCCGGGTAGACCCTCTACCTGGCAACGTGTGAAGTTCGAGTCACTAAATTTGAAGAGAAGTGAACCTACAGTTTGCCTCCACTTGTCTACCCCCGTAAGATTTTCTTGGAGGAGAGGCTAAGGGGTATTTATTTGGAGTTTGTCCAATATAGAAACACGTATTCATTATCTCTGGCAAAGTGTGAGCTTTAGCTCACGTTTTTGTGGTAGAAAAAATGGATTTAGTCAGTTTCCAGAAGAAAAAAATCCCAAACTTTTAAGTCGTTTGTTAATTCCCTACCCCTCGCAATTTACAAGCTTAAATTACTCTCCTCCTTTGTTGAGTCTAGATTTAATCTACCTATCCAATCTGTATCATCACCCACCTCCCCATACAAATCTTCGCCTTCCAGTTCGCAATCACCACCTTATATCACAGTTAAAAACCTTCAATAGCTTTCTTCATTTATCTGACTGTTTAAATTGCATCAATAAAAAGTCAACATTCTTTACATATTGTTTTTTTAAAGTCGCGGTTAAGAGTTGCCTGTTAAGTGTTTGCTACTTGTTGATTTCAAGACGAAGTGTTGTCTTTTCTCATGCTGCACATGCTATGCATCCTTGCACCAACACTGTAGGTACGTTGTTAAGACTGCTCACCTACACCCTTTTTATTAGTAGTATTAATGGAAGCAGAGCACGCATGCGCTCCTGTGAGTAGAATGGTGTGTCTGTGCCGTTAGATGCCAAGCACTTTCTCACCTGCCGTCCGTGTAATCCAGCGAGATGCTGTGCCGGCTTACTTGCCGTGTTACTTGTAACCCTAAATCGTGCGGATTATTTCCTCTCATCTTGGATTTAGTCGTTGAATGAGTGGGGGCCACTAGAAGGTTGGTCAAGTTTCTTTCCTTTCCATAAACATTTGCTTGCGTCTTTTCTACAAGCGATTTTTATTTTCTTACCTGCGGTTATTTTTGTTCCTATGACATGTGCTTGGTTTTATCCCAGTAGGTAGAGCTAGAAAAAGTTGTAGCTTGTAAGGTATGGCGTTAAGGACCAGTATGTCACTTAAATGGCATTACACGACACAGAACGAACAATAAATTTATACATACAGATAACATATGGGCTATAGAAAAACAGAAAAATATGAGTCAAATTGTAAGGCTTAAGTAAGTCGACTTACACAGTGAAAAGATTATGAATAGAGTATGCCTTAACATGTGTTTCTATGTGAAATACGAGCTTTGATGTGGAAAGCTGATACCGATAAGAAGTTGTTTACCCTCTACCCGATGCCGTGTTGTGTGTTTGGGTTGGTGCTAGTAGTAGGCGTGTCGTGTGTTGTTTCTAAAAATCCCTCGTGTCTATTTTATCGTTTAAAATATGTATTGTGGTTGTTTGGTCGCTAGATCCAAGTAATAAATTATTCAAGCGTTGGGCCAGCCTAAATACGATAGGATATTATAAATAGCCCAGGCCTTGATCAACACGCTAATGGGTGGGTGGTGGTCGTGGAGAGGGGAGGGAAGAGAGGGGTGGTTAAGGTTTTCCAAATGTGGCCTCGATGCCGATTGGCATAGGATACCGTACTTGGTCAGCATGCATTAGCTTAGCGATGTTCTGTAGTTGGCTGGTCGATATCGATTCCCTTTGAGCTATCCGTTTTCTCGTACGGTACCTACTGCCCTGGCCCCAACTGGTCGCTCTTTGCTGGAGTTAAGCTGGTGTTGGCAAACTTATGGTTGCTATTTTTGCTCGTCTGGCACCCAGTGAAAGGTGACGGTGGCAGTACTCGCCCTAGGCGGCGTCTCGGACACTTTGAATGTCTGTGTGACGACAAGGGTCAGTCGTCTCCACCTGGGGCGACTTTTCTCCCTCGTGCCAGCCTGTAGAGCTGGTTCATTAGCCCTGGTATTGCAGTTGCTAGGGCCTAATGGTGCTGTTGACTTACGTTCTAATTATGTTAGATTAAAAGTGTTATCGTTAATTAGAAAATCATGTGGTAATTTATAAATATGGTGGTGTGAAATAGCTACACACGTTACCCACCGTCTCACGCGCATCATCGCTTAGCACATTACTCCCCCCTCGCGTAGCACATAAACACTGTGTCGGTTTCTACCTGTGTAGGTGGTCTTGGAGGGAAGCCCGCATCTCTCTCCTGGCATGGCTTAAATCGCATGAGAGGTTTTGGGACGGACATTTAGATCATGTTTTCCATAGCCTTGGTTTGCCTGATACATAAAAGAACTAGTTCTATATCCAATGGCGGATAGTATCTACTTGTACAGTAACCAATATTCGTTCAGTCAAACGGATCTTCTTCGCTGGACTGAAATACTCCGTAACACCGACACGTCACTTCCTTGTCATGCCTTGTTATGGTGAGGGCTAAACTAGTGAAAATCCCAGCTTTGATACGCCTTACTGGCGTACATAGATGTAAAAATTGGTGAATGTATCGAGCTAACGATTGAACATATGCTGTATTTGATAAATGAGGGTTCGAAGCGTGAAGCTTTAGACACGTGTGTGTGTATTGTGCGCCTACCCTTGAATTTCATGCGACACTTGAGGTTGTCAGTGTGGTTGTGTGTGTCCGAATGAAGTGGCCATTGATTAAAGACATGTGCACAGGCATATCGGTAGGAGGCAGCTTACAGTGTGCCAAACAGTTTTAGTATTGAAATCTTGTGTTTTATCACTGTTAATTTTTAACTGAAGACAACCATATTTGTTGCATCATACCTGCAGCTAAAGATAATCCTTAGATCAAAGCCAGCGAACTGCCGTGAGTAAGCGAGTCTATGCAACAAACAAGCTTACCCTGCGTGACCTGGCTTCCCAGGTCAGTAGTCATGCTTGACTTGACTAGATTCTTACCAATCCAATTACGTATCCTCCACAGATATACCAACGCCCTGCATGATTTCCAGTACTTGGACTTTGATTCCAGATCAGTAAGTTTTTGACACATATGTTCTAGAAAATAAAACTTTTTAAAAAGTTTGTTATCCTTGTCCTTAGTTCGACAACTCCCCTCTTGGAGAGAGAGAAAGAGAGCACTTTAATGGTTACACACACACAATTTATGAAGCCAAAAAAAAAAGTCTCCCGGAGACTCAATATGTCATTACCAAATTTCTTAGTCTGAGCTAAAACATTGCCCATGAGTATTGGTCAACCCAAATAGGTCCAAGATTTTGATTGTGCTTGACACCAAGTCGACCACGGTCCCACAGTATCGCACTTTGACACCTCCACTAATACGGCCATTATTACTTGGCCACTCTGGGAGCAAGACCTTGTGAACACTCGCCCTCTTTAGAATATTGTCTGGATTATCTCCCCCCACTTAATTGATTAACATGGTTGCTGTCGTCGCTTGGAGAAAACATTCTTGTTACCGAGAGGAAGACTAGTAAGAGTGGCTTTTTTAAAAAGTACACGTGTTATCTTACTAAAGCAACTTTTATTGGTAAAATTAATATTATGTCAAATGTATGTTGAAAGTATTTTTTTTTAAAAATAATCGGGCTGTTTACATTTCTGACGGTTACAGCAAAGTTTACAATAAAAAACACGATTCCCTTCAACATCTTTAAGACCCATCGTTAAATAAACCGGAGTGATCTACCCTAAACTTTCTCGAATATTCTTATAATACACTGCGGGGGATAGCAACTCGGGATATAGACATGATTTTAAATCCATTTTAAATACTTAAAGTTTTTAAAATAGAATAGAATCTCTTAGCGCCAAACAATGTGTATAATAGTGCAGAATATTATTAGTACCTATATAAATTCACATGCGTTTTTTTTTTGAGAAATCGGAAATAGCGTAAATTACTACTTCCGGTCAACGGAAATTACTCACAATTTGACATAAGGTAGAGAATTAGATCTTTTACTGACGTGAAATTTCATTTATCTATATGGTAAATGTATCTTGAAAGTTTTTCCTATATATTGCGCCAGTTCTAGTGTGGAGTATCTGGTTATCTTTCTCTACACCAGGTTTAGTATCTGGATATCTTTCTCTACACCAGGTTTAGTATCTGGTTATCTTTCTGTACACCAGGTTTAGTATCTGGTTATCTTTCTCTACACCAGGTTTAGTATCTGGTTATCTTTCTCTACACCAGGTTTAGTATCTGGTTATCTTTCTCTATACCAGGTTTAGTATCTGGATATCTTTCTGTGACCAGGTTTAGTATCAGTATCTGGATATCTTTCTCTACACCAGGTTTAGTATCTGGATATCTTTCTCTACACCAGGTTTAGTATCTGGTTATCTTTCTCTATACCAGGTTTAGTATCTGGATATCTTTCTGTGACCAGGTTTAGTATCTGGATATCTTTCTCTACACCAGGTTTAGTATATGGTTATCTTTCTCTACACCAGGTTTAGTATCTGGTTATCGTTCTCTACACCAGGTTTAGTATCTGGATATCTTTCTCTACACCAGGTTTAGTATCTGGTTATCTTTCTGTACACCAGGTTTAGTATCTGGTTATCTTTCTCTACACCAGGTTTAGTATCTGGTTATCTTTCTCTACACCAGGTTTAGTATCTGGTTATCTTTCTCTATACCAGGTTTAGTATCTGGATATCTTTCTGTGACCAGGTTTAGTATCAGTATCTGGATATCTTTCTCTACACCAGGTTTAGTATCTGGATATCTTTCTCTACACCAGGTTTAGTATCTGGTTATCTTTCTCTATACCAGGTTTAGTATCTGGATATCTTTCTGTGACCAGGTTTAGTATCTGGATATCTTTCTCTACACCAGGTTTAGTATATGGTTATCTTTCTCTACACCAGGTTTAGTATCTGGTTATCGTTCTCTACACCAGGTTTAGTATCTGGTTATCTTTCTGTTCCCCATGTTTGGTGTGTTTAAATGTTGATACAAGTGTAAACACTTAATGCAAATTATGTCTGTAGTTCTTACAACTTTGCCTAGGTTGCTAGTCTACCGTTGCCTGCTTCACCTGTATCATATTCGTCGTTTGTTTTAATGCCTAGAACATTGCTATCCCTCAGTTGACTGTACCACACGTAGCTGTACCCTCGTTTGTTTTAATGCCTAGAACATTGCTATCCCTCAGTTGGCTGTACCACACGTAGCTGTACCCTCGCTTGTTTTAATGCCTAGAACATTGCTATCCCTCAGTTGACTGTACCACATGTAGCTGTACCCTCGCTTGTTTTAATGCCTTGAACATTGCTATCCCTCAGTTGACTGTACCACACGCAGCTGTACCCTCGCTTGTTTTAATGCCTAGAACATTGCTATCCCTCAGTTGACTGTACCACACGCAGCTGTACCCTCGCTTGTTTTAATGCCTAGAACATTGCTATCCCCCAGTTGACTGTACCACACGTAGCTGTACCCTCGCTTGTTTTAATGCCTTGAACATTGCTATCTCTCATTTGACTGTACCACACGTAGCTGTACCCTCGCTTAATGCCTAGAACATTGCTATCCCTCAGTTGACTGTACCACACGTAGCTGTACCCTCGCTTGTTTTAATGCCTAGAACATTGCTATCCCCCAGTTGACTGTACCACACGTAGCTGTACCCTCGCTTGTTTTAATGCCTAGAACATTGCTATCCCTCAGTTGACTGTACCACACGTAGCTGTACCCTCGCTTGTTTTAATGCCTAGAACATTGCTATCCCTCAGTTGACTGTACCACACGTAGCTGTACCCTCGCTTGTTTTAATGCCTAGAACGATGTAGGCAGGCATCAAGTGGCATCGATTTTTGCATTCTCTACACTCAGTTCCTTACATATCTTTACGCGGACACAGATTTATCCTTTAACCCTGGGTGGTATCGAGTATTTTCTCCCACGTCACTTGTAGTTGTAAGACGGAGATAACAAAACTTTGATTTTTTAAATTCACCATTTTATCTTACCGTTAGCTTTGATGTATCGAAATACTGAATTCTTTGACAAGATACAGGAAATATCTATAGAGGTAGACGTTTCTCCAGTTCCAACTGCGTGTTTCCGATTCTTTGTATCCGCCGTTAAAGAACAGCCATGACGGCTGACTAAGGTCGATAAAAAGCTTGAGTCGGTTTTATTACTTGGATGTATCCACACGAGTAGGTCTCGTCTCAACAAATAACAGCCTCGTGCTTGATGGCGGCTAATCTAGCTCGTCTTGTGTTGTTTTTTTTTTTGTCATGTACTGCTGCATGTATCCACACAAACTCACCAGATGCACATACACACACCTACACAATTTGTCATGTACTGATGCGTATATCCACACATACTGATCAGATGCACATACACACATTTTTCAGGTACTGCTGCATGTATTCACAAACACATACTCATCAGATGCACACACATCCACACATTTGTCAGGTATTGCTGCGTATATTCACACATACTCACCAGATGCACATACCAATATGTCATGTACTGCTTCATATATTCACACATACTCACCAGATGCACATACCAATTTGTCATGTACTGCTTCATATATTCACACATACTCATCAGATGCATACACACATACACACATTTGTCAGGTATTGCTGCGTATATCAACACATACTCATTAGATGCACATACACAATTTGTCATGTATTGCTGCATATATCCACACATACTCACCAGACGCACATACCTATTTGTCTTGCTGCATATATTCACACATAGGCCTACTCACCAGATGCACATCCACACACACATCCACACACATGTCATGTACTGCTGCATATATCCACACATACTCATTAGATGCACATACACAATTTGTCATGTATTGCTGCATATATCCACACATACTCACCAGACGCACATACCTATTTGTCTTGCTGCATATATTCACACATAGGCCTACTTACCAGATGCACATACACACACTTATTCGTTTTCCTTATGGGGGGGGGGGGGGGTGAAGACATTGTGATACCTGCCACAAACAATATTGTAGATGTTTCAGTTATGTGATTACAAAACTTCATTGTATTCCTTTAAAAGTTCGTGTTCGTTAAAATAGACAGCTAGAATGTCAGGTTGACTGACACAAATTTAAACACTATACATGAACAAAAGTTTTCAAGATAAATCTGTGGCCAGCTACATGTAACCTACAGCCAGCAGGCAGTTGCATGAAAATTAGGTTCCTTGTTACAATGCCAGTATTACTTTTTTACTTCTTAAAATACTGCCACTAGCAACCACAAAAGGGACGTTCATCTCTACGGGGTAAAGATGTGTCAAAATATTTACTCTATTATCATTTTAAAATGAAAGTAAATATAAATTTTGAGCAGACATTGATTGAAACAATGTTACAGTTACTTTGTCATATAATTTTTGTACAGAAAACGTTTGCTTGCGAAAATATTTCATTCTGTCTGCCTAGTTCTATTGACCAGTGTCCATGTTGGTGTAATGTCAAGCCACATGTTTTATGTTGACACTGGTATCTGGACCGGTGTCTATCTTAATAAGTATGTGTACTTGACAGTGTCACGACCATAATGCCCGTTGATGTTTAGGCTCAGTTTGAATGAACACCGGGCATGCAGCGACCATAATGCCCGTTGATGTTTAGGCACAGTTTGAATGAACACCGGGCATGCAGCGACCATAATGCCCGTTGATGTTTAGGTACAGTTTGAATGAACACCGGGCATGCAGCGACCATAATGCCCGTTGATGTTTAGGCACAGTTTGAATGAACACCGGGCATGCAGCGACCATAATGCCCGTTGATGTTTAGGTACAGTTTGAATGAACACCGGGCATGCAGCGACCATAATGCCCGTTGATGTTTAGGCTCAGTTTGAATGAACACCGGGCATGCAGCGACCATAATGCCCGTTGATGTTTAGGCACAGTTTGAATGAACACCGGGCATGCAGCGACCATAATGCCCGTTGATGTTTAGGCACAGTTTGAATGAACACCGGGCATGCA